CCCCACCCCAATGCCAGCCTCATTCTACAACAGTGGCACCATATAGCATTTGTCCCTTTGTGACTGAGATACCTCACTCGGCATAATGTCCTCCAGGTTCACCCATTTTGAATATTGCATGAGTTCCTTGTTTTTCAATGCAGCATAGTATTCCATTGTGCGAATATACCACACCTCCTCAGTTTTACAGTTTGTATTCGTTGTCTCGTTTAACCACCTAAACCTGTGAAGTCCTCTTATACCTGTTGCATGTAGGGGGAGATGAGCCTCGCAGAAGCATCCGACCAACACTACAACACGAGTGTCACAGTTAGCATTTTAATTCCGTTCCAGAAAGTCCTGCCTGAACACAAAACCTGTTTGTTTTTCATTATACCATAACCTTTCCAACATAAAAATCTTGAAACATTAAGACACACCATCAACTCTCTCTTACATGTTCTCATTTAGATATATAAAAGTTGGGTAAGGTAATTTTGAAATCTTTTCAGCTTCAATTTTCAGTGGAGCTTTATAATTGAATCTGATTCAGCCTTCTAAAAAATTATTTTAACCAGATCCTGTTAGTCTCCATCTGGGAGGCTAGGTTAGGGTTTTGTTGTAAAAAGTGTATTATCAGAGCGAATAAAAGTTTTAAATTTGATAGATAGTAAGTAAAGTATGAAAAGTCATGCTTTTTTCCAGAGAGCCTTAACATTCCAAATAGTGTTTGGTATAATCAGATCAACTGGGGGAGATGCCTATAATGCAAGCCTTGAATTTCTACTTCAAAGTGGAAGTTCTTTTCCTCTATACAACTGGCATTCTTTTTCTTAGCAGATCCAGTTTGCTGACCAAAAGCAAGAATTCAACAAACGTCCCAGCAAGATTGGGCGCCGCTCTCTGTCTCGTTCCATTTCACAGTCATCGACTGACAGCTACAGTTCAGGTGAGCGTTGAGCTGCTGTGGGCCCTCTTGGCAGTGCCAGGCCAGGTAAGCATGACCCAGCCCATGCTTCGGAATATACAACTTGCAGTTGCAACTTAGACCAAAATTCTAGATGGAAACGTTGAGTTCATCTCAGGATTTCAGAGGAGCCTCATGGATGCCAGCTTCCATTTCCAATAGAGTCAGATGGGAAATTATTAAGGAAAGACTTATTTGATCTACTCATCAGGGTGGGAGCATAGAGCTGACGATCTTCACTGAGGAGTGTGTGTTGCAGACCGAGGGTCCCAAAGAATAGAATAATTTTATAATAAAGAGACAAACAACCAGGAATGAGATAGAGCAGAGAGTGTAAAACAGGGGGTCAACAGTTCTTGACTGAAGACCTTGAGCCAAGCGTCTGAGTATTTATATAGAATCACAAGGAAGTACAAAAGAAAGGATAATGGTGAAATCTTTTACAGATAAGGCCAAGTTCCTCTTTATGTTAATCTCAAGAGGGAGGGATTCATTTGATAAAAACTAAGAACAATGTTGACTCCTAGGGAATGCCCTAGTGTCATAAGGTGACCTCCTAAGAAATCCCCCAGTGTCACAAGGTGACCTTCAGTTTGTATTAAGCCTCTCTCATTTCCCGATACAGCATTTGGTCTACTATTATTAAATTTGATATTCGGCTTCCCTCAAGTGTGTATAATTTTTTTCCCATCTTTCGAAAATAAAATGAGTCTCCATCTGGCATTACAAATTCAAAGACGTTTCAATTGCACCAAGAGGCAAAAAAGACATTCTAGCTGGTTCTAAAAGGTGGGCCCTTTACCTTGTCTCCTGAGCTTTAATATTGTCCTTCCTCTTTTTATTGTTGTTGTTGGGTGTTATCAAGTTGACAACAACTCATGACCACCCTGTGAACAACAGACGGAACCTCCCTCTCCTGTGCAATCCTTACTCACTATTACAGTCACCGTGTTGTTCCCCCTCATTGAGGGGCTTCCTCTCTCTCTCTCTGGTCCCTCACCTTTCCCACCGTGATGTCTTTCCTGAAGGATTCACCCCTTCTCACCACATGCCAGAGTGTGAGACAGATTTTCCCCGTTCTTTTTCTGAGGGACCCTTTGCACTTCTGCCCTGACCAACTTGTTTGTTCTGCAATCATGGCAGTCTGTGGGCATTCAGTCAGCACTCTTCTCCAAGATCACAGCCCAAAGGCCTCTGTTCTTCTGTCACCCTTACCTGTTGTCCCACTGTCACATGCGTAGATAGGAGTAACTGAAAAGAGCATGGCTTCAATCAGGCATATCTTGGTCTTAGCCAACTGACCTCCTTGCTTTTTAGCACTTTGGCGAGGACCTTGATAGCTGATTTTCCCAGTGCAACGTGTCTTTTGATTTTGAAATTGTTGCTACAATGGGTGTTGCTTGTCAATCTAAGGAAAATGAAATTGTTGGCAAATTCAAGCTTCTTACATCTATCATGATACATCTCTTGCTTCAGTAGTGAGGATTTTTGTTTTCTTGATGTTGAACTGTAATCCATATTGAAATCTTTGATCTTCTGCAGCAAGTATTTCAAGTCTTCATCAAGTTTTTGATGAGTCTTCATCCAATCCTGATGCCACATTCTTCTTCATACGGACCAGATTCCTGAGCAGTTTGCTCAGCATACAGATTAAAGAGGATGTAACCCTGGGGCTCACCTTTCCTGCAGCGTTTCCTTTCTCTGTTTGGACAACTGCTTATTGGTCTATGTACAAATTTCACAGGAGCACAATTAAGTGTTCTGAAATTCTCCTTCTTCTCAATGTCATCCATAATTTGTTATGATCTACACATTCAAATGTCTTTGCATAGATAATGAAATTTTTAAAAGGTCTTTCTGGTATTCTCTGCTTTCAGTCAAGATCCATCTTTGCTTTCAGTCAAGACCCATCTGACATCCACAATGATATTCCTCATGCTATGGCCTCTTCTTTATAGTGGCATTAATTCTGTCTCATTTCACTTACACCAGATGAACTATTATTGTACTATTGTTGAAGACTTTGTGCAATAAAACTCAAACTTCAAAATACTTATGCACTTAGACAGTGAAGAGAGTAGTTTAATGACATTAGTCTGTGTGTATGTGTGTTTATTTTGGTGAAGGTTTACAAATCATACTGGTTTTTCCCTCAGTCATTCATAGACATTTGGTTTATACCATTACATTGCCATTGGCCAATGTAGTTAATAAATGACAATGTCTTATCAACCCCTTATTGTGGATGGCCTTTAAAAAAATAAGCAGTTATTAAGCCTATTTAAACAAACTCTGAATGCTGCATGTTTTGAACCGAGAGTTAGATGTGACCTAATTTCTAGTCTCTGTCCATGTTTGACTAACCTGCTAATCCTGGAAAGCTTATGCAGCTTACTCTGTTCATAGCTGAGGACGCTGTGCGAGACGAAACGGAAAGAGCTCCGTGTGCACCAGAGACTAGGCCAGCAAGTCCGAACCTGCTCACAGCTGACCCTCCAGTGGGCTTCCAAGGCTGTAAATTGCCCAGAAGGAGATTGACTGTCTTTCTCATGAGGAGTTGCTTATAGAATTGAACCACCAAGAGGCTCAGCTTTTGAATTAGTCATGCAACTCCCTGAGGACTGTTCCGCTAGAGCTCGGATGCATAGCGCAGTGGTTAGTTCATTATAGACAGTGAATGCATCGGGCTTTAGGGCTTTAACTCAAGTGAAGCCCAGGTTGGCAAAGACTACAGTAATCTCTGCAATTATTTTATGAGAATAAACTCTCTTCAGGTAAAGAGGGGTGAAGGAATTGGGGGTGGGGGTAACCCTTCCTAAAACTGAGCAGGTAGAGAGAAAAGACTTTTCTTCACTTCAAAGTAAGATAATTCTCAGTGCTTTGTTCCTAAAAAATGCCATCTCTGTAGTGCGTTAATTAGCTCCTGGTGAGAGGGAAGACTGAAGTCCATATAAAATTTGAGGTAACTTGATATTTTTCCAGAGAGCAAAGTTTGTTTGTATTTGGTTTGCTAACACAGCTCTTCCCATAGTTCCGGAGTGTTGTCATCAATCATAGCAGGACGCACCAATACAGACATGCTCACTGTTATCACCATGACCATACGACTAGACTGGGCCCAGGAGGAACGGCCTGCCTTAGAATAGTCTAATAAGACTAAGTCTACTAGGATGTATACTGCTGCTCTCCTAGCAAGTACCCACAACCTCCTGCTGCTAAGACATGTGATCAGACTGAAGCCATAGAATATATTTTAGAACCATCTCAAGAACAGGTTTGAGTCCTTGAACACTAATGAGCGAAGACCAGATAAGCTGTGGGAGGGTATCAAGGGTATCATTCAGGAAGAGTGCAAACGGTCATTACAAAGACAGAGGAGGAAGAAAAGACCAAAATGAATATCAGAAGAAACTCTAAATAGTGCACTGGAGCACAGAGAAGCCAAAGCACAAGGAAGAATTCAAGATACTAAAGAGCTGAACAGATGATTTCAAAAGGCAGCGTGAGATGACAA